TTTTCAGTTAACTGTGGGGGAGCAGGGTCTCCCCATTACTCTGCTTGAACAGCTGATCTGACTGTGAGGTGAACTTGGTGTTTATATACAACACATCTCATCATTCTTTTCAGCTGCGTTTCCAGCCCTTGCAGTCTTCGGAATCTTAATTCTGGCCCCATGGAGAGGTGTTCTCTCAGACAAGCATCACAGGCAAATGTGTTAATGTGTCCCATGAGACTCCAGGCAGGTCCCCATGGAGACTCAGGGCACCAGGCCAAGAGCAGCTGTCCTCTCCTGAGGTCTCCAGACTGAGGCTGACTTCCAGCTGTGCCCCTGAGGACAGCATTCGAGTGAGTTCCGTCTCGTATCCTGCCACCCAGGCGTGTCTGTGTGCCTGCTTCGTGGGCATTATCCACCTGCAAATGTCGCTCAGCTCGGGAAACCACTGCAGGGGCTGCCATGTGGCATAGAAGGAGGGGCACACCTGCCTCAAGGAGCCCCCATCCCCGCTGGGAGCGGAAATGAGCACCTGTGAGAAAACAGGCACACAAGGCCAAGTATGGTCAGTGTCTGGGAATGACACGAAGATCTCCCATAAACACAAGGATAGACCACCGAGCAGTTATTCATCTAACACACAGCAGAGTAGCCCTTCCACTCCTCTGGGTGCCAGGCTTGGTTTGTGCTCTCGTCATTGCCTTTAAGCCTCACAACTACCCTGGGAGGTCCATGCTGTTGCCCTCGTTTGAGAGAGAAAATGGAGGCTCAGGCAGTTTTAGGAATGTGCCAAAGGCCAGACATCTAGTGTGTAGTGTTGAGCCCCCTTGGTTCCATCTCTGAAGCCCAGGACACCCACTCATGGTCCTACCATTGGGGTGGACTTTGCCCATGAGAAGCAGGCTCGCTCTCAGGGCGCAGCCTGAGGGCCATACGGAGGGCAGACCCCAGGTGTGCCGTCTCAGCGACAGTGGAAAAGGAGAGTGAGGCTGGCTTGGCAGGAGTTCAGGCCGGGCGCTCATGCTTCAGAGGGGGGCCACCAACACCAGACCCAGTCAAGCGATGCTGGGCTCAGGAAGCACAAGTACTGCCACATGCCCACAGCTCAGTGACCCCTCGGGTGGCACTGCAGCCCTCACACTTGGGGACCTGGGCTCTCCTGCCCCTGGGCCTGAGGAATTCCCTTCCGCCGAATCCTTCTCACTTCCACTAGAACAGTGTGTCCCAAAAAACCAAAATGCAGACGACTGTGCTTCCCCTTCAGAACCAGAGACGTGGAGGCAGTCCTATCTCGTGTTTGGTTTGTTCCCTGAGGATTAGAGCCTGGTCCTCTCTCTGTCCTGAGTGGACACCCACTGTGGGGTCGGCCAGCAGCAGGTGAGGGAACCTTGCCCAGCAGTCATCTGGCAAACAGGCAAGTGCCAGTGAGACAAGACATCAGTCCCCATGTGGATGAGGACATGGCCACAAACAGTGACTGTCCACAAAATCAATGGGGAGAAAAGAACGGGGGGTGGGGGGGATCAGGTTCAAGAGTGCAGGCTGGGAGCTAGGGTATCAGGAAGTGGAGCTGAAGGGCAGTGAGGTGAGGGGTCAAAGGCCTGGGGAATGAAAGGTCAGAGGTTGATGAGGAAGAGTCTGGGCAAGGGAGCCAGGTGCAGGCAGATTTAGTGCCAGCGACCAGCGGGCACAGGCCAGGGGTTCAGGTGCAGCAGGCAGCTGGTGCCGGCAGCTGTGGAGAGGATGGGTGAGAAGATGATCTCCACAGTCCACAAGGAGCAGGCAGTCTGGAGACAGGGCTCCCTTCTCAGCAAACAGGCTGCCCGCAGCACGAGGCCAGGTCACTCCAGGCGAGTTCTATACCACTTGTCCACTATGCCTGCCAAACAAGCCTGTGGCAAAGAAATGGATCCAGGCGGAAGAGGACCACACAGTCTGCAGAGCAGAGTTCTCCTTTAATTCTTAAAGACCCACGGCCTGACTGCACCGATAGAAAGCACACCGAGGCCCCCGCGGCCTCCTGCCCACAGCCTACATGCATCCTGCACCACACTTCAAAGCACAGCTCGGGCGGGGCGGGGGGGGGGGGGGCTCTTGTAATTCAGTCTTGTGAGGAGCCTGAGTCCAGCCCCATTTCCTGAGCCCCAGGCTCATTTTCAGGGACAAACAGCACTCCAAAATGTGCCATCTGCCTGATCAGCCGCCAAAAACAAAAGACAAGGCTCCCTCCTGGGTGCCAGTCTGGCTCAGGCACAAACTCTGAGAAGGACCCAAGCTCCAACCACTCTGATCACAAACACCCAGTCCCCTCCCAGAGGAAGACAGCCAGCGAAACTGTGAGCCTTTGGACGCACCGGGCTCCACCGCAAGGCTACGTATGAGGCAGGAGTCACACTGGGCTTTTACCCCATTCCTCAGGTGCTTCCAGACATGACTGACAGAGAAACAGTGAAACAGTCTCAGTCTCGGGAAATGCCCACGGGGGCTTCTTGTCTTCAGTGGTGCTGGAAGCCAGGAGTCTGTCTCAGACACATGCTGCGGCTGTGTCTTGGCACCTGGGGTGCTGGGATGGGGCCAGGCGCTGTACAGGCTGCAGCCCAGCCCAGGGAGGTGCAGCACAGGGAGGAGCAGGCCCCTGCCTAGGGCTGCCTCAGGTGTGCCTGCCTCTGCTCCTGGGAGGAGGGAGGCTGTGCTCAGATCAGAGGTGGACCTGAGGTTGGAGGTATGGGCATGAAGGGCCACAGGGATGGAAAGATGAAGGAGCCTCCCTCACATCCTGGAGGGAGTAGTATTTGAAAGGAAGGTCCCCAGTGGCTAGGGAGCCGGACACTGGGCAGACTGGCTTGGCCTTTGATGTGTCTGCAGGGACTGTTGGCAGAGAACCTGGCTGCTTGGTTTCCCAGCCCTGGGCAGCGCTCTGCCTCCCTGCCCGCTTCTGAGCCCCTCCAGGGAAGGGGGTAGCTGACCAGCCTTACCCACCTTTGGCAGGGAGTGGCTGCCACGACCTTGGGGTTCCCTACAAGATTTTCTCTGAGCTTCTTAAATTGTAGTCTAAAGAAAAGTGCGTAAACATTAACTGTGCACCGTTTCACAGTTGCTCCCTCTGTGTAATCACTCCCAGGACCAAGGTGTAAACCATCTCCACGCCTAGAAGCCTCCCTCCCACCTCTTCCCATCAGCCTTCCCCTACAGCCACCATGCTCTGACATCCGTGCCAGGACTCCCTCTGCCTGCTTCTGAACTTCCTTTAAAATCACACAGCACATGCTTTTCTGTGTGGCTTCTTCCAAAAGTGTGTCTGTGAGTCATCCATGCTTTCATGTGCAGTAATTTTTTGTTCCTTTTCACTGCTGGGTAGTATTCTGTGGTGTGGACATACCACACTTTATTTATCCATACCACTGTTGGTGGACATTTGAACTGTTTCTCGTTTGGGGCCAGCATAGTCAAGTTTCTATGGACATTCTTACATATGCCTTTGAGTACCATGTAAGCATCTGCCGGGGAAAGTCCCATGAGCTGAAATGTCTGGGAGCACAGGTGTTTTACTTCTCCAAGGCACCATGGTGGTATTCAGGTTTTTTCACCCCCCTGGGAACTGAAGCAAATGCACAAATAGAAGCTTACATGGTATGAAGGAAATTGTGGATCTTACAGATGTACTATAGAAGGGTGTGTGTGTGTGTGCGTGTGTGTGTACTTACTGTTACTGCTGTAGGAGGATCTTAGAATGTCCTAGTGCAGTGATGGCGAACCTATGACACGCGTGTCAGAGGTGACACGGGAACTCATTTTTTTTGGTTGATTTTTCTTTGTTAAATGGCATTTAAATATATAAAATAAATATCAAAAATATAAGTCTTTGTTTTACTATGGTTGCAAATATCAAAAAATTTCTATATGTGACACGGCACCAGAGTTAAGTTAGGTTTTTTCAAAATGCTGACACGCCGAGCTCAAAAGGTTCGCCATCACTGTCCTAGTCAGCTTTTCCAAAATAAATTTGAGAGGACCACAAAATTTAGGGAAGGGAGAGGAAATGATTAGAGATAAGGCTGGAAAAAGAGATCAGGGTCGAGCTGCAAAGGGCCTTGAATGCCATGCTAAAGTAAGTGGACTTCATCCTGCAAGAGACAGGAATCACCAGATGTGTTTAACAAACACCTACTGGCACCTACACACCGCTAGGTAGGTGTGGCAAACCAGCCTCGTCACCTACGAAGCTGAGTGAACTGCAGTTAGTGGGGGGCAGGGGAGTGAAGGGCTCAGTTAGAGCAAACAACCTGTGTCCAAGTCCCAGGTCTGCCTCTCATCAGGGATGACTCCAGTAGTCACAGGATGATGTGCATGCTCAGCCACGAACAGCACATGGACATAAACTGACAAATGGTGCACTTGCGGGCAAACGCTCCTACATACACTAGTACACAGTGGTGACAGGGGGTCAGAAGCCATGCATACAAGATGCTCCCTCCTCAGCAGCAACCCAAACTTACTAGAAACCTAGTGCTTCATAGTAACAGAAAAGAGAGGAAATTAATAGGCCTCCAATTAGCCTCAAATCATCTTTGCTTTAGGGACTTGCAGTTGGATGAACTTGCCGAATAATCCAGAGTCCCAAGAAGACATTGCAAATAGTCTGGCGACGTTTCCCTCAGCTCGGTATGAGCTCTGGGGTTGGGAAGACAAGAGCGACAGTACTTAAGAGAGTCTCAGAAAAATGGGTGCCAGGCACAGGTTTCCCATGAACACTGGGAAAGGTCCACAGGGGAGCCCTCCTTTGTGCCCAGAGTGAGATGATTCAAGCCAGGCCTGGGAGAGACCACTCAAACCTGACCAAAGCAATTCTTATAGCACTGACATGGTGAATGAAAACCCTATTTGATCTTAGATCATTGTGGAGTAGCCTTTCTCTCTTAGAAAAGGGGGCTCCACAGTCATGTTACACCTGGTCTGGTGAAATAAACAACATGGGGCGGGGGGGGGGGGGGGGAAGCGATCCTGAGAGAGCTTGGCCTTACCTCCACGTACAGGAGGGGGAAAATTCCAATCTTGTCTCCCAGCATTCCTTCTGCCCAGTTGTCATCCACTCTTCTGATCACAGTCAGGATTTCATCCTGGAATTGCCAGAGCCCACAATGTGTACAACCACATGGACATCCACACAACAAAAGAGAAAACAAGAGATCTGTTAGCACTGTTGAAGCCCAGAAAAGATTCTAAACAATGATTCAAAGAATGGTTTATTATCCATTCTGAAATATGACATGTGAAAACAGTCACCCCTTACATTTTCACCCAGGATAGCTCTCTTTTTTATGTAGTGATTACAGCTGCAAAGATTCTCAAATGTTTTCCATTTATAATATGCAGGAGTCCCTCCTTATCCTTGGTTTTGCTTTCCACAGTTTCAGTTACCTATGGTCAACTGTGGTCTGAAAATATTAAATGGAAAATTCAATTTTTGACTTTTTATAATATCAGGTGCCTATACTTGTATTTAAGGATTTCTAGCCTGGCCGGCATGGCTCAGTGGTTAAGTGTCAACCTATGAACCAGGAGGTCACGGTTCAATTCCTGGTCAGGGCACATGCCCGAGTTGCGGGCTCCATCCCAGGTGTGGATGATCAATGGGATTTTAGAGGAACAAATGTAATCTGAACAATAAAGATTTAATTAAAAAAAAAACATCCTGAGATGTGTCCCTGTCCATCCAGCTTCCTGTAGAAACAGGAGACCCAAGATTCTCTCAGGGCAGTTGCTCTGCCCCTCAACCTCAAGTCAAATGCCACCTCTCTAAAGGGCCTCCAGACCACACCCACCACAACAGTGATGCTCACCCACAGCCCAGGGAAGGAACAGTGAAAGCCATCTGCTTTTTTTCTTTTTGTGATGCATGTGCACGACTTCAGCACCCACTTCCAAGAAGGCATCTGCAGTAAGGCATCGCAGCCACACAAACTCGCCTGTACTCGATGAGGAGCCAGGCTGCTCTTCACTGAAGTTCCTCTGTCTTAGAGACCTTAGTTGATTTCCACTGACCATTTGGGCTACTTAGTTTCCTTTCTCCTCTCATGATTTAATATTCCCACTCTTATGTTTTAAATTCACCATTACAGAGTAAGCCCTCAGTCCAGTTAAGGAGAGAAAACTAAGATGGTGACATAGGTAAATGCAATACTCACTGCCTCCCACAACCACATCAAAATTACAACTGAAATACAGAACAACCATCATTCAGAACCACCTGAAATGTGACTAAGTGGAAGTCCTACAACTAGAGAAGTAAAGAAGAAAGCATATCGAGACTGTGAGCCCGGGAAAGACTTCATTCCCTCCACCAGAGTCACCGCATAGACACCACTCAGGTGAGGAAGGGTCCTGCTCCGAGAGCGGACTGTCGCTCCTGGTACAGCCATGTGTCAGGCTGTGTGCCATCTCACACAGACAACGAAACCTCCTTGGGAGACGGACAGATTCCTCTGCCGCTACGAGGCCCAGTGGGACTCAGACCCTGGGCGGAAGCAGGATTCAAGGGGGAAGGCATGGGCTCTGGGTGGGGAATTGCTGTGCGAGGGCTGTGCCCAGAGGCCAGCTTACCTTGGTGAAGGTCAGGCAGTCCTGGTCCTGGTCTCGGTCCTTCATCTCAAAGTCATACAGGGCTTTGCCCTGGGGAGGGGTGGGTGGCAGGGGCCGGAGACACTGCACATAGCTGGCGGGCAGGAAGCCGTGGGTGCCGCGCAGCTCCCCGTGGAACCAGTGCTCGTCCACCCTGCGCCTCAGGATGATGACGTCCCCCTTGTTGAACTTGAGGTCACCAGGCTCCTTCCCCTCGTAACTGTAGAGGGCTTTGCCACAGGGAAGCTGGGAAGGATTCTGAAAGCAAAACACAAGGCGGGTTACTCAACGTGGCCTTTCTGCTGCCTGGGCGGCCTGGAGCATGGGCTCCGTGTCCGGGGAACGTGCAGAATGCCCTCGAGTGGCGAGTGTTTCAAAGGAACAAACCCCTGTCCCAGGAACATGCAACCCCATGACCCTGCCTGGACAACAGGGTCCACTAGAGGTGCCCATGATGTCATTCCCGCTCCAATCGTCTATGTGAGGGGCCAGGTACTGTCCTTGGCCTCGGCACGCACCAGCTCACTCTGTGCGGAAAAAGTCTCTGAAGCAGGAGCTAAATGATCTTCATTTACAGGTCAGGACACTGAGGCATGGAGAGAGAGAAGGTAACTGGCCTGAAGCCCCACACCTGTTAATTAGGGCAGAATCTCCACCTAGGGCTCTGACTCCAGAATGTTCTCATCCACCTCTCTGTGCTGACTTGATCTATCTCCAATGGGAGCTATTTCTATCTGCCAGAATTCCAACAATTATCTTCCAACAAAATTCTCCTTATCTCTGAAACGTCCCAGCAACTCAGAACACGCCTCAAGGGGGTTTCAAGTTGAAGGCAAGAGACTTGCACAGACTACTGTGTCCTTCCCACTCGTGGTACACGCCTGTGACATGCAGTCCCAGGGACAGCCCAGCCGTGGAAGGTGGAGGCCACCCTGGGACTGTGGTCCTCAATGTTTCATAAGTTCTAACAAGTCCCAGCTGTCACAGACCCCCTCAACCATGACTCATAATTTTTTGATGCCTACAGCAGTCTGGTCCTGAAGGACAATATGAAGAGCACAAAATACTATCCCCTTACTGTCATGGGGTGTTCCTGTTACCCTGTCAAAGGTTAGTAACCCTTCCGAAAGTGATCTGCCATCTTTGGTCTACAACAGTGACTAGCTCTGAACCCAGACAGAATTCTTGGCCATCTTATGCGGTAAGTTGTTGAACTGCTCTGAAACTTGATGTCATTGTCCACGTCCTTGGCTCCTCCACTGTTTCATAAAGGCCAGTGCCACCTGGGTTTCTCTTTCTCTTGTTTACCGGTGGCCAACACTGGTTCAACTGAGTAAGCTTTGCCAAAGGTCAATTCTATGCCAGCAGAAAATCAAACAAAAATCTTACTATTGTTCCTGTGTCAAAACTCAATGATTTTCCTAACAGAGCTGCATTTTCTCCCCAGGGCTGCCCATGCTAAGGATTTCTTTAGTCTTTGAATCAATCAATACAGGCACAAAAGCCCGAGGCAGGAGTGCATGGGGAGCTTGGGGCGGGGGATTTACTAGCCTGCTGCACCTCCGCCTCCCACATCTGTGTCAGCAATGGCAACAACAGGAGCTGAGGGAACCTGCTGTCAAACTGCTAAACAGCACCACTAACCAACTAAATGGAACACATGAGGATTTGCAGAACTCAATGAGGAAAACACCAGTTTGCTTCCAGCAACACTCCTCCTGGCAGGCTTTGCTCTGCATGCACAGTAAACTGGCACAGGCCCCAGTTTTAGAGAGCCGGGCAAAGTGCTACTTACAACCCAAGGACTGTGATCAGAAAAGAATAGCAGAGGCTGGGGGCCACACAAGAGCCAGTCAGTCCCCAGCCTGGGGGTTCCAAATCAGGGACAATTTTGCCCCCCAGAGGTCATCTGGCAATGTCTGAAGACAGTTTTGGTTGTCACAACTGGGAAATAGGTGCTATTGGCATCTAATGTGTAGAGTCCGGGGATGCTGCTAAACAGCCTACAATGCACAGTACCCCTTTCCCCAGCATTACCCGGCCCAGAACGTCCATGGCACTGAGGCTGAGAAAGCCTGCTGCAGCCCTCAGGGTAAATTTACAAAATGACAGAGTATCTTTCTTGTTCTATTTGAACTCGGCGCATCACAACTTTAAAACTTAAATATAACATTTATTTCTGTGATTGCAGTATTTTTACCAGTGACCACATGGAGAAGTTGATAGATCCATTGAGATAAGATGTGTTGAAGAAAAGAACTTACTGTTAATCTTAAAAACTGGCCTCAACTAGGTGCACAAAAGAAAACGTCACTTTGTCACAAACAGACTCCATTTTCTTTGGTCCCGAGACTAAGAGGGCCATGCTCAAAAGCAGTATTTATTGTAAGAGACATCAATTCTGAAGCTCTTTGGTCCTTTCTTCACTGTGGACAAGGGTGAGTAGGAATGGCCAGTGTGTACTTTGTTTAAATGCTTGGCCTCCCTTGGCCTGCACTTTCATGCCATTTCAACACAGGCACCTCCCCTCACCCCATGTGGAGGACACACTGGCATGGCCACTCTGGCCTGCTCACCACCAGCTTACTAGCTCTGTTGATACAGAGGACACTTGTAAGCACCATTTACTTGCATTTTGTACAATTCTGGCCCGACTTGCCCAGCAAGGCTGGGTGCAGTGAAGAGAGATACGGGCACTGCCTTGTGGCAGGGCTGGTGCTCTGGAGTAGTATGTCTTCCCTGTTCCTGGGAGGACACACTCCTGATGTTTGGAGGACTCCACGTCTTTCATTGATTCTCCAGGGTGGGCATAGCCGAACCTGTCTGAGCATTGTGTCCCCAGGCCTCCCTGGCCAGCACGACCTCTTTCACAGTCCCTGTCTCTATCTGCTTCTACATGGAGGCTCTAAATTCTCTGTGCTTCCAACTTCTCTTCTGAGCAGTGGACTGTGAACCCAGGAAAAAAAAAAGACACTTACTAGAAAGAAGTCCTGTGGCTAACTGCACTCAAATTTTAAAAAACAGAGCAGAGCAGCCACTTCTGAATAGAGGCCTCCCAGGTAAACTGCACTTCAGGGAGAAGCCTGCACTTGAACTGCCTGCCTGCACGGTGTTTCTGCATCTGAGACAGCCCTTGTAAAGGAGTCCCAGGAATCCTATTTCAACCAAGAGGACTGAGGCTTTCCCGGTGAATTGGAGCTGTACGGCTTCAGCCAAGCGACTCTATTCTGACCAATCAGCACAGTGCCTTTTGGACCAATCAAATTTTGAGGATTTGGAGTCCTCATCTGCATGAAGATGGACCAATCAGGGACCAGGGGTAAGGACTCTTGTCTATATAAGTCAGCTCCCACATTTTCCCTTTCCACAGAAGACTGTGGCTCCCTGGTTGAATGAAACACCAAAGATGTCTAGGAGCAGAGCCCTCTAGCTGGAGAGCGTCCTGGCCAGAGGGCTACCTTACAACCTTGCTATTTTCACAGCTGTGCTGTATCACAACTGAATAAAGTTTCCTTCTTCATTGCACCCCAAATTTGGGATTCCTATTGGCATTGAATTGGTGCCAATGACCATTGGTTTACCGGACTTATGTCAATCTAACTGCCTCAAGGTGCCACAACTCAATGAAGTCACTGTCTGTCCCTCAAGCCCCCACCCCCTAATTTCTGACCCACCAGTGAATAAGCACCCTCTGTTTTTCCTGAGCCCACCTGTTCCCTCAGTCTCAGTGTTCATCCTCAAACCCTGCTGATGCCACTTCTAAATTCTCACCAAGAAATCCTGCGCACACTTCCGCCCTTCATCTCTCCTACCTAAACCATTGCAAACCTCCGCCAGCAGGTCCTCAGTGTGAGGTTACAAGCCCAAATGCAGAGCTGACCTTACCACCTTGTTGCTTACCTACCTACCTACTGCCCTCAGAGAGGGGTACCTTGGAACCTGGGGCTTTCCACACCAACATTGGCACAGCTTCCAGCCACAGCCTTTGGCACTCCTCCCCACTGTCTGTGTCCAGCCACAGTGGGCAGCATCCTTGTTCCAAAGGAGCATGTGATTCTGAACTGTCTGTCTTTGCTAGTCCCTTATGCCCTTTCTCTCTCCCCCAAACCAGACAGCATCCCAGGCTGTGTTCTCCTTGTCCTGGGAGGCTCTTGTCCTTCACTCCCCACTGGATTAGACCTATTCCACCAAGGCCCCAGAACAAGACTGTGCTGTGTTTGCCTGACAGTCCTGAGACCAAGGAGAGCTCCTAGCACACGGTTTATACCCTACCATATGCTTGTTAATTCATATATGCTCAGGTTATTCCTCAGACAGGGTGGGGTGTGGGGGAGTGGGAAAAGTTAGAAGTGACAAACTTATCTGACATGGCACCCCTGTAAACCAGCATGCCTCACACAGGTCTGGAAAGGCTGCTGGTACCAGCTCTGCACAGAGGAAAGAGCAGGTGTTCTAGCATGTGAACCATGAAAGGACGAGTCCAGGTTCTGAGACAGCAGAAGCAGGGTAGGAAGTGGGCTGCATGTAGTCCACCATGGTTCCTGGGGCAGCCTGGACAGGGCTGACTACCCCCTGGCCCGGAGGTCAGAGGGCAGGGCTGGGAGCGAGCAGCCTCAGTGACTGCAGTGTGTCTGGTTAGACAGCCATGCTCTTCAGCAGCCTTTGGTGGGAAGGGCAGAGAGAGAGGGAGACACCACTGGTGACTAAACCCCACTGCACTGCCAAGATCAGCATCTGATAGAGCAAAACTGAGAGGGGCAGTAAACCTTTTTAAGATGCAAAACACATTTTGGAGGGCAAAAATATCAAAGTCAGAGACGGTGCTGAGAGGCAGTTTAGCCAGGGGTTAGGGCCTGGTTCTCACTGTGAGGAAGCACTCAGAAATGGTGATGCTCAGCACTGCCCCAGTACCTTTCACCTTCAGAGCCTTTTATAAGATTAACTAGTTAGTCCATGTCTAGGGCCCAGGAGCATGTGAGCTATTATTATGGGGGTGGGGTGGGGGGACGCAAACAAAGGAACTCTGAAATTCCAGCCTCCCCAGCCCAGCCAAGGAGACTAAGGGGGGTTTTCTGCAGCCATTTCCTTTCTGCCCCCTGCCTGTCCTCGGTCCTCATGCCCTCTCACTTCGTGTATGCTGCCCTGTGGAGGAACTGATTTCAAACGTTGCCATTGAGCCACCAGTAAGTACACTCGGTGAGGTCATGACAGTAGGGAAAAGACATGAAAGAAAAAGGGAAATGCATTTGGGATGCCTA